GCATCCCAAATCTTGACTACAGTTCCGATCTTGTGTTTTTGTGTTTTTCATTCTTCCTACCTCCACCTAGTTCAGGCCTTCAGGACCCTTGCCTAAACTCTCACAAGAGCTTTATAATTAAGTGATCCTCTTTATAGCTCAGTTGTAATTAAAAGCACTGACTGTTCTAGAATCTATCTGTGGTTTTCTTACTCAACTACCTTAGGTAAGCTCCCTGTGGCCCCATCTCTTCATTGAGGCGTTCATGACCCACTGTCCTGAAGTTCTAGCCTCTGTTCCTAGCTGTTGCCGCTTACTATAGGCGTCTGACACACCTACAAAATGATATGTTCCCTATACCAGACTATTTCTCTGCTGCTTACAACTTGTGGATCCTACCTCAGGCTTTTTCAACACCCTCTTCAAGTACAACTTCTTTCTCTTGTCTCTTTCTTCCCTCCCTGGCCTCTTTGCCCACTCTAAGGTCTCATGGGGGGTGGTATTTTCTAACATATGTTGATAATTTCTTATATGCCAGGCTATTCTAAGAGCTTCACGTGTGTTACCTTGTTTTGTCCTCACAAAAACTCTAAGAGGTGAAAACTATTATTATCTCTAGTTTAAGATGGAAAAGACCAGGGGCGCCTGGGTGGCTCAGGCGGTTAAATGTTTGACTTCGGCTCAGGTCATGATCTCATGGTTTGTGGGTTTGAGCCCCACATCAGGCTCTGGAGGCTGCTTGGGATTATCAGTCTCCCTCTCTCTCTGCCCCTCCCCCACTCACGCTTTGTCTCTCTCTGTCTCTCTCAAAAATAAACATTAAAAGAAAAAAAAAAATCAAAAGATGGGAAAGACCAAAGCACAGAGAGGCAAAATAACTTTCCAAAGGTCACACAGCAAGTGAAAAGTGGAGTTGGGATTCCAACTCAGGAAGCTTCCCTTCAAAGCCTGCACTCAAGCGTTTTAAAGTGACTCATAGCTCCCTAAGCCCCTGGGTGGTTCAGTTCGTTAAGCTTCCACCTCCGGCTCAGGTCATGATTTTGTGGTTCCTGAGTTAAGTGCGCATCAGGTTCTGTGCTGATAGCTCAGAGCCCAGAACCTGCTTTGGATTCTGTGTCTCCCTCTCTCTGTCCCTCTCTCTCTCTCTCAAAAATTAAACATTTTTTGGGGCGCCTGGGTGGCTCAGTCGGTTGAGCATCCGACTTCGGCTCAGGTCAGGATCTCGCAGTTTGTGAGTTCGAGCCCCGCAACGGGCTCTGTGCTGACAGCCCAGAGCCTGGAGCCTGTTTCAGATTCTGTGTCTCCCTCTCTCTGTCCCTTCCCTGCTCTGTCTCTCTCTGTCTCTCAAAAATGAATAAACGTTAAAAAAATAAACATTTTTTAAAAAGTGACTAATAGCTCTCAAAGGAAAATAGAAGAAAAAAAATTTCACATTCTTACTCAAAATATACGACATGCTTTTGTAATTATTCATGTTACTATTTTATCTCCTTTATGCAAGCTGAGAATTCCTAGAGGGGAGGAGCTCTGGGTCTCATGGACTGGTTCCTCAGTTACCATTAATAAGTTGTGGCATAGGTAATGTTACTGAGCCATCACGTCCTTTGGAAGACTCTTGATTGTGAATTGACCATTATCAATCCTACCTTTTACTATTTCTCCTAATTAAATATCCCACTTGGCCAAACCCTGGGGCAGGATCAGGCCAACTATTCCAGGTGGATTCCAAGAAAGCTGTGCTCAGTTTTAGGATTCAGATTGTGGCTGAGAGTTGCCATTTTTTTTTACATTTTATTTTAATTCCAGTAGAGTTACCATAACAGTGTTATATTAGTTTCAGTGTGTAATACAGTGATTCAACAATTCCCTATATCACCCAGTGCTCATCGCACACATGCACTCCTTAATCCTCATCACCTATTTCACCCATCACTCCCCACCCCCACCCCACCTCTCCTCTGGTAACCATCAGTTTGTTCTGTATAGTTAAGGGTCTATTTCTTGGGGCACCTGGGTGGCTTAGTTGGTTGGGCGTCCGACTTCAGCTCAGGTCATGATCTCACAGTTCATGAGTTGGAGCCCCGATTTGGGCTCTGTGCTGACAGCTCAGAGCCTGGAGCCTGCTTCAGATTCTCTGTCTCCCTCTATCTGCCCTTCCCCCACTCACAGTCTGTCTGTCTCTTTCTCAAAAATAAATAAACGTTAAAAAAAAATTATAGGAGCACCTGGGTGGCTCCATCAGTTAAGCATCCGACTTTGGCTCAGGTTATGATCTTGAGGTTCATGAGTTCGAGCCCTGTGTCAGACTCTGTCCCAACAGCTCAGAGCCTAGAGCCTGCTTTGTATTCTGTATCTCCCTCTCTCTCTCTGTCCTTCCCTTGCTTGTGCTCTATCTCTTTCAAAATAATAAATATTAAAAAAAATTAAGAAAATAATTATAGAATAAAGACAGTCTGTTTCTTGGTTTCTTTTTCCTTTGCTTATTTATTTCTTAAATTCCACTTATTAATGAAATCATATGGTATTTGTCTTTCTCTGACTGACTTACTTAGCATTATACTCTCTAGCTTCATGCATGTGGTTGCAAATGGCAAGATTTCATTCTTTTTTATGGGTGAATATTTTAGTTATCTTCTGCATAATAGAACAGATGTGTATGTGATTTCTCCCTCTCAGAGGTGGAGAAACTAAAGCTCCCGAGGTTCTTTATCAGAATCATCAGGCAGGTCTGTGGAGCTTAGATCGACTAAATCAAACTGACTCTCCAGGAATCCAGGAACTGAACTCCAGTCCTGGACAATCCTGTGGTGATTCTGCCCTAAGGCCACATACTAAGGATTGGTAGATGGACTAAGTTGTTGACTTACCAGAAAAGTCTGGAACACTCTTCCCCTATATTTTTACCTTGACACAAAATAAAATTATGACATCATGATGGGAACACAAGACTTCTCTATTTGTATTTTTAGAACTTGCTAGATTCTTCCAAGGTGGACTAGTCAGTTCTTGTGTTGAAAAATCACTGTGGAGAACCTGTACCACCTTTCACTGTAACCTGTGACAAGTGTGTTTGTTTCATAGAGAACAAAGTGATAGATGACTGCTTTAGTAGAGAACCAATAACTTGGTATCTAGTCACAATTCCTTGATAAGCAGCTAAAAACTTAGTAACTTTTAGAACTCTCTTTTTCTTTCTTAGATTTAACAGATGCTAAGAGTGTTTGTGACTCCAGGACGGCAAGGCACTCATCCAAAATCAGTATCTGCTAAATACCTTGTGGTAATACTATTTGTTACGGGGGCGGGGGCGGGGGGGATACTCAGATGAAAGTTCCAGTGGTTTAGTTCCCTCTGGTTCTGGCAAGCCAGCGCACAAGCCAGAATCTTTAACTACAAACCACACTGTGGCTAAGCCTCCGCTCAGTGACCCGCAGGCGGAGAACAAGCCCCGACCCGTCCCGTGCGGCCACCGCCGCACGTCGTCGCCCCCTTTAAGAGACTGCTCCGCGGGACTAACGTTCGAATGGCACTGGCGCCCCTCCTCGGCCTCCGATTGGTCGCGCGCGGCGCACGAGGGCGCGCCGCCCAGCCCCGGAACGGTTGGCGGCCCTTCGCGATTGGCGGGCGAGGGGCCCATAGGCGTGCGCGCCGAGTGCGGGCCGCCCCTGCAAAGTTAGCGACCGGACCTGGGAGCGGGCTGTTGTCTGTTGTGAGTAGGAGCGGGAGTCAGTGAGCGCGTCACGGGAGTCGTTTCTTTTCAGAGTCTTCAGGTGTCGAAGGTCCACCCCCGGACCGGACTTGTCGACGCCTCTCGTCCCCTCCCTGTTTCCGAACGTGAGCCGGGCTCTCTCCCGTCACCTCCGAGGCAGCCCTGCGAAAAGGAGGCAGGATGGAGTTCAAGCTGGAGGCTCATCGTATTGTCAGCATCTCCCTGGGCAAGATCTGGCCAACTGCGGTCCAGCGCGGCGGCATCAAACTGCACAAGAACCTGCTGGAGTTCAGGCCTCACAGCAGCGCCCGCCAGGTCTACCTGAGTGACTGCGCCTGGGCTCCCCCATCTGGTCCCAGTGGGAGCCTGGCGGCATGCCGCCGCAGCGGGGAGCGGCTGGCCGGCCGCCCAGGCGGGTTGGGATACCTGCCGGCCGCTTGTGCCGCCCGGCCGGAGACCGAGCCGTAGCCGGAGCGCCCGGCCGACCCGGCCCCGCCGCGCGGGTGGGAGGAAGTCAGGAGGTCTCGGTGATGGGCGCGCCGGGGACGCTCTTCGGGCCGGCGAGAGGTGGAGGCGGAAGCTGCCTGGCGCCGCGTGGAGGGACCGCGCGAGGCGAGGAGGAGCCGGGTCTCTCGCGGCAGCTGGTGGCCCCGTGGGCGCTGCCACTGCCCCCCAGGAGGGGAGGACAGGGCTGGGGGCGCTGGGCGTTGCCCCCGAGTTGACTGCCGCTGTGCAGGCAGCCGCGGCCGGCCGAGGACGACCGGCACCGCCCGCCGTCGGCCCCCGGAAGCGCGGCGCGGCGGGCGTGGGTGGCGGCCCCGCGGGCGGTCCGGCGCCCGGCTCCAGCCCGCTCAAGAAGCCCCGCCGGAACTCGGAGGAGCAGCCGGGCGGGGCGGAGGAGGAGGAGGAGGAGATGGAGACCGGGAACGTGGCTAACCTCATTAGCATCTTCGGTTCCAGCTTCTCGGGACTCTTGCGGAAAAGCCCCGGGGGCGGCCGGGAGGAAGCCGAGGGAGAGGAGAGCGGTCCGGAAGCCGCCGAGCCCGGGCAGATCTGCTGCGATAAGCCGGTGCTGAGAGACATTAACCCTTGGAGCACAGCCATCGTGGCCTTCTGAGCCCCCGGGTCCCGTTCGGAAGGAGGTTGAGCGGCGGGTGGCCCCGACGTGAGGCTGCGAGGACGGCCCAGAGACCGCAGGGCGCTGGACGCGTTGCGGGGACCGTGGGTGCCGCCGGGCAGCACCGACTGCCCTCGGGCTCGGCGGCCTCCCCCCTGGAGGCTTGTCGGAAGAGGACGATCGTTAACTTTTGTGTAGTGTTCTGTCTGTGTACGTACGTCTGTCTTGTTGAATTCAGACCATTTTGTCCTTCTGGAATGCACCACCCCTTTCCCAGGGCTGAGGAGATCGGGGGCAGACGGGGACTTTCCTTTGCCGGCAGCCCCGAGAAGGAAGCGGCGGAGAGGGCCGGGCCTGGGGAGTTCCCCTTTCGTGCTCGGGGGAGGAAGGGACTTTACACACACCCCTCACATGAAAGCTAGCCCCGCACCAGGGCCGGGAGTGGCATTTCCTCACAGGATTTCCTAAGACTAGAGGGATTTAGTCTGGAGCAGAGACCTGTATCATTTCGCTCTCCCCACTTTTCTGTCTCTGAAGAAACTTCTGTACCCTGTGATTACTCTGGGAAAGGGAATCTGAGCGGCTCTTGTCTTCCCCACGGGGGGGAGGGGGGGAAAGAAAAAAGCTTGATGAACTTCACAGAAGAGTTCAAGCTTGGAAATATGGAGTTTATAGAGAATAGATATATTTTTAAAAGCTCTAGATCGGAACTACTACAAGTGCTTTTAAAAAGTGTTTAATGAAACAGAGTTTACAGACAGAAGCCCTAAGTGGAAAGACCTTATGGTTTTGTAGATACGGTGACTCCAGTCTTTGTTGTATAAAGGTTGGGGGAGCCGACAAGGTTTTTGTACAGTATTTTCTCCTTCGTTGTATTGATTTTGGTATAAAAATGTAACTTTACGTGTCTAACACGTATTAAATATTTTGAAGCAACTTAATCGCCTCCTTGTCTGTAATCATCTGTCTGGGTTGGAAGGGAAGAGGGAGAAGGGTGACTATGGTCCTGGCTGGAAAAGTGGTTCTTAATATCAGTCATGCACAGACTGGGGACATTGTTTTCTGACTTCACTAAGTATGGAGAGAGATGTTGAAGGTGCCTCCCCTAGATCAACGGAGGACTGCTATTAGGTACTGATACCAGTGGTCAGCCAATTTCTTAACCTGTCACTACAACTGCCTTCTCTGAAGTCCGTTTAGCCCAGTTTGATTTTCTGCAGCTCAATCTGATAGTGTCTAATATTAATTAACTTTAGTGCCAACTTTTGAAGCCCTTCCCGTATGCAAATATGTTTTAACAAAAACTTCTTTTTAGTATCCTGTTAAACTATATAATATGGGTCACGTTTCAGCTTTGTTATTGAAAAAAACACACATGAGGGCAGCTAATGAGACTGACCCGCCCAGTTGGTTGATCCTCCTCTGTATTCCAGTGGATGGAGTTTTCAGTGTTTTTTTTTTTTTTTTCCTCTTATTGTCTTATCTGTAGAAAGTGAAAGGAAATTGCCTGTGTCAAACTAGGTAAGGAAGGAGGGCTAGGCAAATTCAGCTTAGCAAAACTTCCTAATTTGCTCAGTGTTTGGGTCATGGTAAACACTTAGGTGATGACAGCTATGTCATCAGTTGGTTTTACAATAATTACTGCATTTTAAGAGAGCTTTTTGTCGGGCAAGTATTCGATATGTGAAAGGGATTCACTAATCTAGTTCAGAAGCAAATCAATTAGAACGCTATTTTAAAATATTGTTGCTAGTACTTTAAAAGCTGTTATTGGTCTATAACAGCTTATAAATGAGTATTTAAGAGATGGAACAAATTGAGGAAAGATTAGACAAAGCTTTTAAGTAAAGGTTATGGCCTTTGAACAGAGGGAGCAAATGAATGGTGCTTTGGTATTCCTAAAGTCTTGATTATGTGAACTTCTGTCGTAGCTCAGTAGGCCAGTGCTTTGATTTTTTGCAACTCTATTAGTGATTCATTAAGCATAAGGAACTTTTGGCCTTCTGCTCCATCACCATAACAATATATTCATAGAATTAAACCTTGTCTAATCAGGGTCTTATTAAAATTGACATGTTTTTCTTTCAGAGATTAGCTATTTAAGTTCAGTTCTAGCCACAAGAGATCCATTGAGTGCTAACTGCTTAAACTGAATAAATGGTCCAGGGCCTTACTTTTGCAAACATTTCCTGTTGCTAGAAAGTAATTATGCTTGAACAGCTATCTCAGTGCATCTTTATTTTTGAAAGGGGGTAACATTTGATGTGTTTAAGAGAGTTGGTATGTTTTGGGTAAGATTGAAGTTCCTGTTGATTGTTTTCACATTTAAGAGAAAACATGGGACCATGTTTCTACTTAATTTAGAGAACGTAAGTGGATATATTTGATAGGGAGATCTAGCTTTGTAGGAAATCTGAAAAGATCATGATTGGTTTTGCAGAATTGTTGCAGAAGCTGTATAGTGTAATGGTTAAAGCTTGGGCTCTTGAGTGAGACTTCTGATTTTGTATTTTGGGTCTGCCACTTAATTAGGTGAGGAACTCTAGACAGATGACTTCATCTCTTTCTGCCTCAGTTTTTCCAAATGTGAAATTGAGATAATTGTATCAATCTCGTAGGGTTGTGGAAGTTAATGAGCTAATGCCTCAAAAGTTCTTAGAAAAGTGAGCATGCATAGCACTCAGTTTTTAGTTATTGTTAACTTAGAAGTGAATTTTGTGTGTAAATCAGATATATTACTGTCAAAGAATTGTGTATATTTGTAAGAAAGGCAAGTAAGGGGGAATCTATTTTAAACTTAGCCTATCTGAATGCTGGGTTTGTTTATTCTCTGGACACTTGGCAGTTACAAAGCTTAGTTGCATCAGCATGGTTTTGCTGTTCTGTATGTCTCACACCAACTCTGTGACTTTTCTGATTGTATCAAGCAACTCTATTTTCAGGGAAGAGTAAGCAGGAGTGAAAACACTCAAGGAGCAAAGATCTTGTTGACATGCAAACGCTTTCTGTGAGTAAAGAAAATATAGCCCACAGAGTTATTTTTAGCCTGAATTGCTTGGGCATAGAATGTTTCTTAAGCCATGTTAATTGATAGGTCTTGGAAAAGAGCCTTCCCAGTGGCAGGATAAGGTTATCACACACAACTAAATCAGATTCACTGTGACTACAAATGAAGCCAATAGTTTTTAATACCTAACCACTTGTTGACCACTCTGGGAGGGACTCTTCTTTTGATTAAAGAAACCTTAGCTGTGGTCTAGGGGGAAAATTTTTTTTTTTTTTTACTGTCCCATGAAAACTAGTTGTTTAAAAAGTGCTTTTTGATGAGTACTTCAAGATCACATTAATAGTGAATAAAGGTGATAAGTTTTAGTACAACACTTCTTAACCAGGTTACTTTAAACCTGTCTTCCCTCTCAGAAACTGTTGATTGTATTTGGGGAAAGGAACTTAAGATGGAAAGCTTGAACTGCACAGTGACTAGATTTTCCCTAAGGCACCTGGTAGAGTAATAATAACCTTTCTATCCCTATCATTTATCACTGATTGGATTTGGGGATGAGAAGTGGGAGGGAATGGACTATTTAGCAACATTGGTAAACATCTTCTCAGACTACAGACATAGTAAATATTGGGAATGGAATTAATGATGACAAAACTGCTCTTTTTTATCACTGAATTAGTCTGAATCTCTTACCTCAACTTGCTAGGCAGGTAACTCCCCTTAGAGCCTGTGAGGTGGAGTCAAAAGGCTAATACCTACTGCGATACAGAGTTCGATGGACATTTATTTCCTTGTGCTTTTTTTTTTAAGTAGAGTTAGTTCAGTTCACTGAATAACCAAAGAAATTCTGATCTCTTGCCCTAAATATTCTTGTCCTGTTTGTGAATTTTTTATTCTTCTAAGCTCGCTTTAATCCCAGCAGTTCCTGAAAGAAGAAGAGAATGAAAAGAAACAGCGATCCAACCCTCCCGTGACTATGAAAGAAGCCATTACTATTAGGTGCCGAACTCCGGTGGCAGTGAGGTCTGCTTCCCAGGATTCCTGGCACTCTTTCCAGTAATGAGCAGTTTGTTTCTCAGCCTTTGAACCATTATTCACATTTAAAATTCTACTCAGCGGAAAGCCTTGGGAGGAAAAATCTAGTAGAAGTAGAACCGATGTTAGGAATCATGGTAATCTTAGTGCATGTCCTTGGAGTTTTTCAGTAACAGATCTTGAGGGTATAATAGAGAAGAGGGTGTGTGAGAGCAGAAAGTGTAAAAGGATACACACATCTAGTAGAATGCCTCCTTCCTGATCCAAACACGGTTTTTCCCCGTGCCTGCCACCACCCCTTCCCCCGGCAGGAATGAGGGTTTTAAAAATAAAACCCTTCTCTAGCTCTCTCAGAGAACATAGCCCAAAGCATCTTTGCTGGACTATATCCTGGGGTTTATCTCAGACCTTTGGAATCTCACAAGCAGGGAGGGAGAAGCCTCCTGGGACTGCATTCCTACATGTGCCTCTCCCTCTCCCCTACTCTCCTGATCCGCAGTACCCCCCCCCAAATGGATACTGCCCACTTATGGGCAGGTGAGACATTGTCAGCTATGAGCTTTTGAAAGTTGCAGGAAGAAGGGCTGATGCCCTGTCACTACCACCAAGCATCTTCCACAGGTAAATCTCTTAAGGGTCTAGCCTACAGTAGGCCTGTGACATTTCTTGATAAATCTTTTTTATATAATAAAGTTTTCTGGGACCTGGTCACAAGAGGCCCCCAGGCCTATGTGATAAGCCACATCGCTAACTTACACAATGAAGGTAAGACTCAGCTTCCCCCTTTCTACCCATTTAGCACCAAGGCAGGCCTGGTCGCCCTCTGCTTTCTCCCTATGACCTGGGCCCCTGCCAGGCTGCCCCAGCTCATCATTGCACTAGATGCCAAGGCAAGGCTCCTTTCAGCTTTTCTAGAACTCGGGGATTTGCCAAACACCATGTGTTCCCACCTGCTTGTTCTATCTATTCAATGTCTCAAGTCTTGGGGCAGGACAGCTGCTGGAAGCTTGCTTTCTCTGAGGTAAAAGAAAACTACTCTGTTCTCCCTGCTCAAAGCACTGAGGTTTTCTCTGAGGGGCAGAATTTTCTTTGGCTACTCCTCATACTTGATCCCTTTCCTGGGTCCCATTCGAGTTTTTATTCAGGCTGATCCACATCTGCGTGGCTGTTTCTTTCTAGCCAGTCACAGCGTCACCCTGCCCTTTGTGGCCTACATACCTCCTTCAGTGCTGTAGTTATGTCTTTCCTATCTGTCTGTCTGGGTGCTAGTCTTCCGTCCCTCTACCCTCTCCTGAGGATGCTCA